GGCGTGGAATTCGCGGAGGAGACCTTGATCTCCGTCCAGGAAAAGCTTGATCAGCTCAGCCGGTAGGTCGTCCGGCCCGACGGCCTTTCTGTTGGCCATTTCCCGTACCGCTTCCTCAACCTCAAGTAGAGATGGGATGTCGTCGAGTGGCACGCACGTGGGCCACCGCTTGACCTTGTCAGCCGCATGCAGGTCGATGGTCGGCGACTTGGTGTTGAGAAGCTTGTGGAACCACCGTGCCCACCGTTGGCGAATAAACGTGGGGTCCCGAAGGACCTTGCCGTCCTCGTCCTTGATGTTCTGAGAGGTGAACGACCTCTTCCCTTCGACGTCGATCATGTTCAGGTGCCTGTAGAAATCCGCCTGATCCCCCTCGCGGCTCTTCTTCTCGAGCTGCCGTACATAGCCCCCGAAGAACGTTTCCAGTGCTCTCCACCTCGCGATGCTGCGCTTCTTCCGCGCCGCCTTGAGCATCGCCTTCAGGGTCGCCTCGAAGGCGCTGTTCTTTGAGGCCCAACGTAGTTGCTGCTGGGCCGCCTTAATCTCCTTAGACGCTTCGGAGGTCTCGTGCTGCGCTTCGCTCGTGTACCAGCCTCTCTGCTCTCGTGCGCACTTCGCCAGCGGCGCGGTCTCAGCAGGTATATCTGCCTCAAGTACGAACTGATGTTGAGCTGATGTTGATCTCTCGCCACCGTTGCATCTCGGCTCCTATTTTTAGCGCGTCGGGTGACGAGTCATCTGAAATGTCAAGGGAGGAGTCGCAATGGGAAATGGACATGGGGCGTGCTTTGTTGTTGAACTTGATTTCTGTTTGTCGCCGATGGAACATGATCGCTGCACACTACATGGACTTGTCGGGACATGGTCCGCGGTTGAACGTTCTGAGCTGCTGCGCTGCGGTACCCCTCGCTCTGCAATATGAAGCACTCGAAAACGCGAGCGTCGACGCAAGGAGTAGTTGTGTGCCGGGTCAGGACCTTTTGTTGGTCGCACGGCGGCCTCACCTCTTCGCTGTGGTCTCCGTTGTGCGCGCGATGCTCCGACGCGTTCTTCCGGCAAATTTGTTGGGCTTTTCTGTTGTTGCTTGCTTGCTGGTTGCGCACCCTCTGCGCTGTAGCTGTCGAGGAAAGCACCGCCTCCCGTGTGTATGTGTGTGTGCGGTTTGTTTTCGTGCGAATGGAACGCATGGAACGCAAATGGCGTAACGCTAAATGGCCATCGCTCTTCACGCGGACACACATATTTCTTCTGTACCCTGACAACACTGTCGTGTTGTTTATGCCCTGTCCGAATCCCAGGAGGTTGCGAGTTCCACTTGGGGATGTGGTGGGGGGCCGACATGAATCCGCCGCAAGTTGCAAAGGTGAGTTAAGTTGAGGGGAAGTACGTGGGTACACGGGATGAATCGCGTTGGATGTGTTAATGTAGGCAGCCCAAAGCTAGACATCCTTAACAAATGATTTGCACGCGAGTTCGAATCCCAGCTCCGACACTTTGGACTCTGGAGGCATCCTTAATATTTTTTGCCAGCACCGCATGGCGAGGGGTCCGTCGCCGGACATCACTGCCGACTGCACCTTACCAAATCAGCTGCGCGTAGCCTGAGGTATGACAGGAGCGCACCCGCTTGTTTGAACATGGACGCCTTGCGATCATGTGCGTACTGTTGACACTGCTTCGCTTGCCTCCCGACACCGGATGCGCAGGGAAAGGTTTGTCTCGCGCATCTTACCCCCGATCCCGATTCAGCCTGAATGGAGCACGAGCGCCCACGACGCTACGAAAACGACGTGAGCGAGGAGGACATCGAGAAGGAATCCGAACTCATCCGTCTGCTGCACTTCCGTAATCTTTCAACGATAGAGATCCACAAGGCTTTCGAGGACATCGGAAAGAGGCTGGGGAGAGTCGGAAAGCAAAAGGTGAGTGGGAGAGAGGATTGTTTGCGGTAGGTTATTTGAAGTAAACGTTACCTAGACGTGGGGGGGAGGGGGGAGTACTCATCGCCGTGCATGCCGCAGTCGTTAGGCCGGTGACATCGCATCCCTACAAAGCCGGCACGGAATCATGCCGGCTTGTCACCGGACCAGTCTGTGACATCACCAAGCGCGAAGCGCCGTGATGTATTCGGCGAGTCGCATGGGGGGTGCCGCTACATCCTGCTGGGTGTGCGGCGTGTTGGGCTAAGGATGACAGCTGCGAATAACCCCGATTTTTTTTCGTGCTGCACTTTTGCAGATATAGCAGTAAGGACAGTGTCAATACGTTGAGGGTGTTCGACCAATTTCACAGAACGTGGTGCGACCATCCCTGTTGCGCAGAGTGAAGGTTGTCCACCCCGCACACCATGATGTACTCGACCACCATCATGTTTACCGCTAACAGACACCAAGGCAACAAAAAGTCGAAAACTTTTTGTCGAGCTCACAAAGCCATCGGCGTGTTGCCGAGCGACAAAAACCCACGGGGGGAACGGGGGGTAGCCCAAGAGTGGGGTAATGAAGAATTGTTCAACCGGCGGCATTTTCGTTGAAACGATTCTTGTTTCGTCTACATGCTTTCGTCCGAGTACACCCTAACCGAGTTCACTGCCGGGTTGTCCATGTTACCGTTAGGTGCGAAGCGTGAGGGATGCGTTCGACGCAGAACGTAAGGCCGACAACGGAGTGTTCAACGACGCCCAGCTGTTCGTTTCGCACCTCCAGCATAGCGAGGCTTTCATGAGGTTCAAGGCAGACGAGCAGAGCCGCATCACGTCCATCGCCTGGGCATATCAGCAGCAGAAGTACAACGCCGTACGATACCACTTCGTCATCGTCCAGGACAACACGTTCAACACGAACATGTGAGTGTAGTGTTAGACGCTCTTTGTTCAAGTCCCTTGGCACCCCAAGTTGTGGGGGCAATACCGTTGTCGAGAAAGGTGTCGCCGATATCTTCTTCTCCACCATCTCACGCATGCCACGTCCCTTCTCCACGATCTCATGCACGCCATGTCCATTTCTTGTACTTGTTGTGCCACGCCTCCTCCAACCAGATACAAGTTCCATCTTGCATTGATGGTCGTGCTGGACAAGGAGAATCACAGCCAGATTGCGATGCAAGCTCTGCTGTCGGACGAGCGGTCGGAATCCTTCGAGTTCGTCTTCGAGTCGTTCAAGCAGCTCTGCGAAGGAGGAACCCCGGAGGTAAAACATGAGTATGACAATGCAATATAGTATGCACTCGCCCATAAATGGCGCCATCCAATGTTGGAATAAAGGAACTGAACGCGATTTAGTTGAACACGACGTGATCATGCGGTGAACTTCATCCGGTCTACTGTGCTCGAATATTGAACTAGGTGGTCTTCACTGACTGCGACGCAGCCGCGATGTTGGCCATCGCGAAGGTCTAAACATAGACCCTGAACAAGTTGTGCGTCTGGCACACCATGGGGAACATCCGGGAGCATGGGGGGGGTCTTGACAAGGGTGTCCTGGGTCAGGTTCTCAAGGCAGCGGCGTACGCGCAAACGGAGGAGGTGAGTCATCTTGGTTGAATCGTTGTTGTGGTGGGTGATATTCCGCACGGATCTTCGACTTGCAGGTGTAGGCCATGTTGTCCAACGCTTGAGAGAGTTGCGAAAGTAGAGGCGCGGGAATCGTCGCCGCCGCGTGCGGCTACACCAAACGGCTCGCTCTCCTTGTTTTTTCTCTTTCATACGAAAGGGCCTCGACACCTTCCTTCTCCCGGTCCATTTTCTTCCATCCCGTCGCGTGCTCCGTTACTTGTCACTCTCGAAGTATTTCCTGCAATGTAAAGGGGCGCTCCTCGACCTCTTGCCCCCGGAGAGCAAGATGCACGAGTACATGGAGAAGAACATCTTCGGCGCAGGGTAAGCACCGACTAGAATGGCAGCCGATGCTAAGTGGGCAACGATCGCGTGACGTCTTGCTCCTCCTCCGTCGACGATGCATTTCTCCTGTTTATTCTGTTTGAAGGTCCCGTCAGTTGGTGACGTCGTCCGTCTCGTGCCCACTATGTTTGAGCCGTCCCGTAACGTGTGACAGGCGGGCTGGCAAATGGGCGTCGTACGTCCACCCTGGGCTGCACACTCTCGGCATTTCCTCCACGCAGCGTGTTGAGTCGATGAATGCTGCGGTAAAGAAGCTGGTGACCAGGAAGGACGACATGGTCGACCTCGGCCGAGCGCTCTTAGACAAGGTTCAGAATGACATCAACAGGACCCAAGGTGGGCATCCGGTTGTGACATTGGCGTGTACATATTTTGCGACACAAGCTGAGGCAACCCATGGTCCAGTGACCTCGACGCATTCCGTGGTTCTGGTAAACTGCTCAGAAGGAAGGTGGTAGCATTTGAAGTCAAGCGAGTGTCTCGTGGGTCGCCTCTCGACAGCAAAGCGCAATATGACCAACCACGCGGAAGCACGCCCGTTGCATGTGGATGAGGTCAACTCAACGTTCGCGAGGTGGTATGACGTCGGTAGTGCATATGCACGACGGTAGTGCGTATGCACGACGGACTTGAGGCTTCCCAGGCGGTCCACACCAGAGATCCTTTGCAACGACGGAGACAAAGCGCAACCAGAGCAACAATACATTCATAATCGTCGGCATCACTTCTACATCATATTGTGTTGTGGCGCGTTTGGCTGACAAGTTTTGTGCTCCACTCGTTGTGCCCCGTGCTTTCTAGGCGAAACCTGGGAGGAAAGGTCGTCCGAGTGGCTGTGCAGGAACACTCGTATGTGGAAGACTTCAGGACCAAGCACCTGCGGATGTTCAACTTCGTCCTGAACGCAGTGAAGTACGAGAAGTGCAGCCAGCACGCCACGAAGGTTAGTTGTGGCGGCCTTCGCTTGCGGCGATGGACGGCCCCAGATA